TATTAGGGGAGAAAATAAAGGCACTCAAGTAGGAAATAAAAGTATTAGGGGAGAAAATAAAGGCCCTGGAGTGGGAAATAAAGGCACTGTGGTAGGAAGCCCGGCAGCCCGGCCGTGTCTGTGCCGTGCAGGCCCCGCCCCGGCCCTCCCGACCTGTTGCCCAGCTCAGGCCCGGCCCGGCGCAGCCCCCCCGCTCACCGCGCTTGTTCTTGGTGCCGTGCTTGCGGGCGGCCGCCAGCTCCTGCTCGATCTTCTTCTCCAGGAACTCCTGCTTCTTGCTCAGCATCTCCTCCGTGTCGCGGAGTCGCTGGATCGCCTCCTGCGGGGAAGGGCCCTTCCCGCCGCCCTTCCCGCCGGCGCCCGTCCCGAACAGCTTCCCCAGGAGCCCCGACATGGCTGCGCGGGGCCGGGCCGAGGCCGTGCAGCTGCGGTGCCGCTCCCGCCGCTCCGCTCCCCTCACGCACCAGACCCGAGGCCCGAGGCCGCCGCCGGGGCCCCGCCCGCCCGCCTCGCCCCGCCGCCCCCGCGCCGCCTACAACTCCCGGCGTGCTTTGCGCCGCCCGCGCTGCGCCCGCCGCCGGGCCCCGCGCGCGGGGCGTGCCGGGAGATGGAGGCTCGGGCGCGGCGGCGCGCGGGGCACGCCGGGAAGGCGGAGTCCGCCGAGCGGAACGCGGCAGCGGCGGGCGAGTGACGTCAGAGCGGGTGTGACGTCACGGGGCCGGGAGGAAGGGCGGGGCCGGAGCTGAGCGGGGACAGGCGGGGAGTGAGGGGAGCACCCCCGGCCGTGGGGCCGCCCCGGGAGCCCCTCACCGGGCAGGGACGGGGAAGGGGAGCTGACACCACAGCAGGGGCTCACGGGGCCCGGGGGGACCCGGCTCAGGTGGAGGGTCATGGAATGGTTCGGGTTGGAAAAGGGCTCTGAGGTCACCGAGTCCACCCTGTGCCCGATCCCCTCCTTGTCCCCCAGCCCAGAGCACTGAGTGCCACGGCCAGTCATTCCTGGGACACCTCCAGGGATGGGGACTCCACCACCTCCCTGGGCAGCTCCATCCAATGCCTGACCACCCCTTCCAGGAAGAAATTTTCCCTGATATCCAACCTGACCCTCCCCTGGCACAGCTTGAGGCTCTTTCCTCTCCTCCTGTCCCTTGTTCCCTGGGAGCAGAGCTCGACTCCCCCCGGCTCCCCCCTCCTGTCAGGGAGTTGCAGAGCCAGAAGGTCCCCCCTGAGCCTCCTTTTCTCCAGGCTGAGCCCCCCCAGCTCCCTCAGCCGCTCCTGGTGCTGCAGTCCTTTCCCCAGCTCCATTCCCTTCCCTGGACATGCTTTAAGTGGCCAAGAAGTGACCGTGGGAGCCTTCCTGGTGCCAGAGCTGGGAGCCAGGAGTGGGCTGGGTGTGATTCCCGGACAAACCCCTCCTTCTCTAGCTCCATCCTCACTGCTGGGGTGACCCCCCCTCAGGCACAGCCGCCTCCGATGGCAAGATCATGTACGGGAAAATTTATCCTTTTAAACTTCCCTTTCTAACTTGCCACCTGTCCCAAAGCAGTTCTTCAATCCAGGGGTATTGTTGCCTCATTGGTGGTGACTATTTGTGAGCTCATTTCCTGGATGCTTGAGTCACTCCCTCCGAGCTGGGGAGGCAGCACAGACATATTTCCATCCTGGAATCCATAATTTCACAGTACCTATGGACAAAATCTCAGGAGAAAATTGAGGCGCCTGGTGCCAAGATTTCCTGGATACTTTCGAATTCTGCTCCTTTGTGCTTGGCCTCAGCCACCTGGAAGAGTGATAAACCCCCATCTCCAGTCAGCGGGGTTGTGAAAACAAGTTAATTAGTAACAGACTCGGACAATAACAGTGTTTGCCACTGGAAAGGGCCCAAGGAAATCAATCTGGAGCCGGGCTGGAGTAGTTGGTGCTCTGTAGAACAGGCTGGGATATACACACCACAGGGAAAAGAGGAAAAATGAACCAAACAAATGCTTGCCCGGCAACAGAGGGTTTTCCCAGCCAGGAGTAAGAGGGAAAAGCACTGCAAGGGAAGTACAAGGAGCTTCCCACGTACCAGGTGGGAGTTCAGCAGCTGAGCTGTGTAAGGGCTCCTGCCTTGGTCCACCTTGGTAACATTGCCTTTGAAGATAGGTGGGAAAGGCAAATAAATACACAGGAGAATCCCACTGAGGCTGATGGAATCACTCCCAGGGCAGGAAAGCTCCCAGCTGACAGCATGGGAGGCTGAGCAGGGTAAGAAAGAGCTTTTACCTGCCTGTTTCTCACTCTCACACAAGCATCTGCTGCCAGCAAGCACCACGGACCTCTGCTCTGCTCCAGTGCTCCCAGGGGATGGCTTTGGCTCTGGAACTTCCAGAAAATGGCAAGATGCTTCTGCTGGTGGGTTTGTAAAGAAAACAGTTGTTCCCAGGACGCAGGATGGAACCAACCCTGTGGAAACGTGCTGGGGGGAAAACCAGTGCCCTGAGCAGCTGCGATCCACCTCGGCCCACGCTGCAGCTGAGCAGTGGGCAGGGCTCTTCCAAGGAAACAGAAACAAGGGGGAAATTCTGGGCAGAATTCTTCCCTCCAGGGAGTAGAAGAGCTTGTAGATATCTCAGCTCATGCCAGGTTTGCAGGAACTGAAGCAACTGGACAAGACTGGGACAGGGAGGAAAATCAGTGCAAGGTTTAGTCTGAGAGGAAAATCGTACGCCCAAGATAAAACTTGTTTTGGTTCAACACCACCCCACATGCAAACACGTATCCACCAGCCAGGGTGGCATCTTTGAGTCCCACAGTCATGTTAAGGAAACTTCCCAGTCTTGTATTCCTCAACAGTCACATCCTGGCTGTTTTGTGGCTCTGCTCCCACCCTCTGAATTACACTCAGTGTAGCCAGTGCAGACCAGGTTCCAGCATCCCACTGAGCCTGCGCCAAGCTGGGGGAAAGCAGGATTTGGGAAGGGAAGGCCAGGCCTCCAGACAGTGCCACCATCGTCATCTCAAAATAAATCCGACTGCAGAGACCACATAATGACATGTACAGAGTGGTACAGAGGGAAGGGGAATAGGAAAAGTATATTTAGCAAACTATTTCCTGATACTGTTCCCCTCGTGGGAGAGCTGAGTGCTTAAAACAAACACTGTGGGTAAATAAACTCTGCCCTTCAAGGCAGGCAGGAAGTTTCACAGCAGCACAGACACACCCAAGCAGGAAGGGCCACCTGGATGTCCCCAGCCCAGCCAGCTCCTCCCAAGCACGTCTGCTCAGAGCAGGATGCTCTGACCAGTTTGGTACTGGGGTCTCCCAGCCTCTCCTTTATTTGACCACCCATGGTGGACTTTTCTTCATATCAAATCAGAAGTTAGAATCATGGAATGCTTTGGGTTGGAAGGGACCTCAAAAATCATCCAGTCCCACCCCCTGCCATGGGCAGGGACACCTTCCACTAGCCCAAGTTGCTCCAAGCCCCGTCCAATCTGGCCTTGGACACTTCCAGGGATGGGGCAGCCACAGCTTCTCTGGGCAACCTGTGCCAGGGCCTCCCCCCCTCACAGGGAAGGATTTCTTCCCAATATCCTACCTAACCCTACCCTCCTTCTGCTTAAGGCCATTCCCCCTTGTCCCATCACTCCAAGCCTTTATGAGAAGTCCCTCTCCAGCTTTCTTGTAAGCTCCTTCAGGTGCTGCAAGTTGCTACATTCCAACGTGTCCCTGTCACCTCTGGTCCATCCCTGTGCACCTCTGGAGCTTGGCTCCATCTTCTCCACCCCATCCTGTGAGGCAGCAGCAAGACCTCTCCTTAACCTCTTGTAAACCCTCAGCAACCCCTTCTCCAGCCTCCTCCTGTAAGCCCTGAGCTCCATTTCCTCACAGCCAACAACAGCTGGAGGTGCAGAAACACCACAAAAAAAAGTCAAATGAGCAAAAAATGAGTTAGGAAAGTGAGGGGGTGAAGTGCTGGCAGGACCCATCCTGAAGGGAACTGTGTGACAGTGTCCCAGGAGTGACAGTGTAACCCATCATTAGACATCCCAGCCTGGGAGCACAGGAACACCAGGAGACACACGATGGGTACTGCCCTCTGCAAGCTGCTATTTTTGAGATTTAAAGTTTTTAAGATTTAAGCAAGGAGACAAGAAAAGCACCCTGAGGTCAAGCAAGGGCTGGAGCTCAGGCAGGCTGCAGGATCAGCCCAGTCAGACCAGTTGGCTCCAGTGGCCAAACACCCACCATTTCCCAGAGAGGAAGGCTGGGATTCCACAGCCAGCATTTCAGTACCCAGGACTGACTGAACCCACACTCTGGATAAACAGGATGGAAATACAGCACTTTGCATCCACAGACAGCTGAGCATCTCATTACACAGATTTACCAGGGGAAAGCCCAGCTCAGCTCACCCACACATGGAGCGGGGAGAAAGCATCCCAGGAGGACCTGGAGGCAGCAGCAATGTGCAGGTCTGGGTCAAGTTCCCTTCCCCAACAGCCAGTGCATCCTGTGGCAGCCTAAAACTGGAGGCTGAGGGCAGCACAGGAGGAGCCTGGCAGGGCAGTGAGACTTTGGGAGACTCCTACTTGGGAAATCAGAGAAGAATCCAAGTGGATAAGGGAATTGTCCCAGTCATACCAGACTTTCTTGCTGTTTAACCACACGAACTCCCCAGTGAATTTGATGACAACTGGCCCACAGGACTGAGCTAAGGGAAGGTGGAGGCTGGGAAGCAGCTGACAGAGCTTCTTTGCAGCACCTGGCCCAGAGCTGACACTGGAACACCAGCTCCTGGATGCATCACAGGTTTCCTGGACAGGTCACCTCACCCAGGCCACTGTACACAGGGGTCATGTTTAACTGTTCCCAGGGATTGGCTCACTGATGCCAAAGGCACTCAGAGATCCTTGGATACGTGGACAAACCATGAACAAAACACTGTGGAGAGAAGAGCAACCTGAGAGAAGAGCCAACACACACATGTGCTCCCACACAGACTCCACAGGGCACGTGAGGTCCAGGGTGTTTATAACTCGTGTGGTACAGACACGGTGATCTTTCTACTGAGAGACACAGAGAGAAGATACCAGACACAAGTCTACCAGGGTATTTCTGAACAGTGTTCCCAAAGGATCTCAGGATGAACTCGCTTCCACTAGGAAGGATCAATTGCTTGCTCTCAGAAGGGCCACCCAAATACTGGGCAATACAGCTTTTAGGCCAGAAAAACCACAGATGGGACAGGCTGTGATTTGCAAAGCCACCAGATTTCAGCAGCTCTGTGTGTTGCAGGTTTGCACGCTCCTTCTTCTTACCCTGATTCAGGGATCTTTGTCTTTCTTGCCCTAAGCAGACCCGTGACGCAGAGGGACAAGAAATAATGGAGCCACCCTCTTCAGTGCCTCGTAGCCACCAGTGGCTTCCAAGCAGTCCTCTGCTCAAGGATGGGAAGACTCAGTGGAGATGAAAGTCATCCTCTCCCATATCCATCTACCTCCCCACCAGAGCTTTGGTCTTTTTCACTGGGATAGATTTGAGCACCGAGTCCAACGGCCACACAGTGGCTCTGGGCACGGTCACTCGGTGGTCTGGATGTACACAGGGACAGCCAGCATGGTGCAGGGCCCGTCCGAGCCCGCCTGCAGCTCTGCCAGGGCCAGGTTGGATGCCATGCTGTTGGGCTGCCCAGCGACAAGGTCCGAGTCGGCAGCTCCTGACCCCCCAACCACGATGGACAGGACGGCATCCGACTCCTGGAAGGGCTCTTTGTCGGGGCCCCCCTCGGGGGGGCTCTCCCCGGCAGCGCCGCCGTCCTTCAGCTCGGCCAGCCCGGGCAGGGCCAGGCCCGCCTTGCGCCCCCCCCGTGCCACCCGCTTCTTCTGGGGCTTCCTGAGCTGCAGGTCCTTGTCCTTGGGCGAGCCCAGCCGGCACTTGTGGTCCTTCATGTACTTGTGGCGGGTGAAGCCCTTGCTGCAGGTGGGGCAGCGGTACTTGTAGTTGCCGGTGTGGGAGCGCTGGTGCTCCACCATGTGGGCGCGGCGGCTGAAGGACTTGTTACAGTACTGGCACTTGTGGATCTTCATCCCTGCACAGGACAGAGCTGCGTTAGAGACCCACCCAGCCCTCCACGGCAGAGCTTCACCTCCTCTCCGAGATGTTCCCTGGTGAATGGGAGGAGATGTCGTGCCAGGCAAATTTGCAGGCAGAAAAGGGTGGGTGGCTACAGCTTAAATGGCTGTGTTTAACTATTGTTTGTTAAACAGAATGTTTAACTATTGTTTGTTAAACAGAGAATATCCTGAGCTGGAAGGGACCCACAAGGATCATCCAGTCCAAATCCTGGCCCTGCACAGACACCCCAGCAATCCCACCCTGTCCCTCAGAGCGTTGTCCAAACACTCCTGGAGCTCTGGCAGCCTTGGGGCTGTGCCCACTGCCCTGGGGAGCCTGGTCAGTGCCAACCACCCTGTGGGGGAAGAACCTTTTCCTGAGATCCAACCTGACCCTGCCCTGACACAGCTCCAGCCATTCCCTGGGTCCTGTCACTGCTCACAGAGATCAGTGCCTGCCTCTGCACTGCCTCTCAGGAGGAAGCTGCTGACTGCAAAGAAATATTCACAAAATCACAGAATCAACCGAGTTGGAAAAGACCTCTGAGATCATCAAGTCCAACCCTTGATCCAACCCCACTGTGGTTCCCAGCCCATGGCACTGATGCCACATCCAGTCTCACCTTAAACACCTCCAGGGACAGTGGATCCACCCCCTCCCTGGGCAGCCCATTCCAATGGCTGAGCACTCTCTCTGTAAAGAATTTCTTCCTAATGTCCAACCTAAACCTCCCCTAGCACAGCATCAGACCGTGCCCTCATCTCACTCCTGGTTCCTGGGAGAAGATACCAACCCCCACCTAGCTCCCCCCTCCTGTCTGGGAGTTGTAGAGAGTATTCTTGCCTCAAAGAAGAGGATTAAAATACCAGAAAAACATGTCAGGTAATTGTGGTGAAAATGCAAAATAATCTTAAAGTATTATTTTCTCTAAGTGTATTTGGTAAGTAAAGAAATTTTCACTTTTTTTTCCTCCCAAATTATGGGAATGTGCAGTCTGAAACAACCCATAACTGCACTGTCAGCACATCCCATCTGATCCCACTCTGCAGGGCTTTGGGAACAAGGAAAGACTTTATTTTTACCCCAAGAGACAAAAGTCTGAATGTTCCCTAGGGCACAGGAATAAATGATTTGTCTTTATTAGGAGTGGGAACATCATTTTTGGAACACAGAGAGAAGGGAAACAAATCCCAAATCCTTTTGCATGTGAGATGGGACTAGGGAGGAGTGGACAGAGCACTCTGGATATTGATTTGACAGCAAACACACTGAGCAATCAGCTCTTTTTCAGAGTTTCACCAGCAGGCCCTGCCTACATATTGTCTTAGAAAACAGCCCAAAGCTTAGACATAGTCCTAAATACAAGCTCACTTAAACAGGCCTGCAACAACACAGAGAAAAAAAAATCTAAAGCTAACTATTTATTCCTCTTTCTCAGGCTGACTCCTTCCATCACATGCTCCTGCAGCATCACAGCAAATCCCAGTCCCTGCATTCCCAACCCCTTACCTGAATGGGACAGAATGTGAGCCTTCAGCTTGTCAGGCCTGTTGAACTCTTTATTGCAGCCCGTGTGGCTCCTGCAACAACAACAAATGCTGGTGAGCAGCATGAATGGGCTGGGGATCGATGTACAAACAGATCCTGGACCAAAACCAGATCCATGACCCTTCTCCTTAGCAACACCCAGATGGCTCCCTCAGCAGGAGCTCAGCTCCCAGCCTTTCTGGGGAGGAACAAGGAATAAGCAGGCTGCTACAGGGACACAGGCTTTTCCTCTGTTACACACGGTCTGTGTCTCACTATAAATGCTCCTGAAACCAGCAGGTTCAAGATCCCAGCTGGAGACAGAAGTACTTTGGAAGGAGCTACAGGGTGGCTGGAGCAGGGAGAAGCCAGTCAGACTTGGCTATCTCAAAAGGCCCATGGCTGTGCCATGGATTTGGAGGTGTACCTTCCAAACCTGGCTCACACATTAGGTTCTATACTGCCAAGTGCCTTTGGAGAAGTGGCAGCTGGGGAGAGCCCATCATTCAGGCACCCCTGTGCTCCATGGTCAATAATGCTCCTTCTCTGCCCTGGTGCTCCCCAGGTGCTCCCCAAAGCTTCCCATGAAGGCAGGTGTTATTTTACAGGGCTGATGAACTGGGATGAAATGATGTGATCCCACAGGATGACAATGACAAAGAACTCCTGGGTTCCCAACTCAAAAGCCCGGAGCATTCCCACCTCCCCAAGAAGCAGTGGGTTGGAAGGTGCCTCAGTGTACCCTGGGGTACCTGCAGGAGACATCCCTTCCATCCCAAGCCCTATCCCAACCGTGCTGGAGACCCACTACGTACGAGAAGGGACATTTGTACTTCTTGAAGGGCTCGTGGATCAGCATGTGCCGCTTGAGCTTGTCCTTGCGATTGAAGGCGGCGTCGCACACCGAGCACTTGAAGGGCTTCTCACCTGGGCAAAAGAGGGGCCGAGAGTCAGGGACGGTCCAGCCACACAGGACAGGATCCACCATGGTGGCTGTGCCCAATATAAACTTCCCCAAACTTCCCTGCCCGATGGGTACAATCCATGCTGCACATTGCTCCTGCTCTCCAGGGCCAAATTCCACAGTTCTGCAACCACAGGAAGGGGGGGTAGCCGTAAAACCTATATTATATAAGTTTCTAGTATAGCTTGTTACTGTCTTTGTACAAAATTCTTAAAATGCTCTTTATCATTCTTTGTTAAGACCTTCGACAGAACGAGGTAAAGGTTTTTTTCTATCTTTGAAAACGTACTGAGAAAGAGATGTAACACCTGATATAACCAGTCAGAGCTACTCAGGAGCCTTGAAACCACTCCAGAAGGCATGACACGGTGTCAAAGGAGATGAGGAAGAGGAATAGAAGATGAAAATGGGGTCTTTTTGGGACCTCCGACTCAGATTCAGGAGGCATGTTGGGGGTGTGGTGAGGGCAGGGATACGGGAGGGACAGTTTTGGAACTGGGTGTAACAGATGAGGTAATGTCCAAATATTGTAATTAGATCCTGAATATTGTATTAGATGACAGTATAAACTTGTAAAGCCTGTGCAACTCAGTGTGTGCAAAATATTCCTGTGCACCCTCGGCGCCATTATAAAGGAGTGCTTTTTGCCTTTTAATACTCAAAAATACTCCAGAGAATTATTTCTCCTACTTTAAGGCATCGGGGGAGGCCACCTGTGTGTCCCACTTCTAACTGGAGCAGTACTGGGCATGAGGCTGAGGCAAACCCACCCATGTCCTGAACTCACGTTCCTACAAATGACTCAGAGTTATTCCCGTTATCAGGAAAAGAGCCAGGGGCGCAGGGCAGCCAGGCCTGTGGCACAGAGAGGACAAGCACTGGGAGCTGTGGGAGCTGTACCCGAGTGGATGTGGGCGTGCAGCTTGAGGTAGTGCTCCCGACGGAAGAACTTCTTGCAGATCTGGCACTTGAACTTGCTGCCCCCGCCGTGCGTGGGGATGTGGCGGCGCAGGTACCTCTCGCAGGGGAACACCTGGGAACACACAGGAGCAAGGCTGAGCCAGCAGGACACACCTGACATCACTCAGCTGGCACTGCCAAGGGAGGTGTAGCCTGTGGAGGAAACATAAGAATCATAGAATCCCGGTTGGGAGGAACCTTAAGGATCACAGTCCCACCCCCTGCCACGGGCAGGGACACCTTCCACTGTCCCAGGTTGCTCCAAGCCCCGTCCAACCTGGCCTTGGACACTTCCAGGGATGGGGTAGCCACAGCTTCTCTGGGCAACCTGAGCAGGAAACTCAAGGTGACTGCTTTCTCAGGAAGGATGCGCTGAGAAAACCTTCAGGATTGTATAAGGAAAACACAGATACAGTGCTAAAAACAAACTAACAAATAAAACCCCAAAGCAGAAAACAAACAAAAAAACAAACCAAAACAACAAACAAAGCAACCCCCCCAAAAAAAACCAACAAAACCCCCCCAAAACAAACCAACAAAACAAACCCCCCAAAAAACAAACAAAAAAACCCCAAACCAAAACACCAAAAAACCCAAAGCCAAAACTTTCTTATCCTTAAGAAACACATAATCTGATACCTTGCTGTTAATTTTGTACTACCACAGTGCTGAGAACCAGCATCCCAGATGGATGCCCAGTCCCCCAGCCAAGCCAGCACTAGATGGGCTGGGCAATGACCCCCTGTAATTATTACCTTCCCACCCAGTTAACCTCACTTTCTGCTTCCTCATAATCTGTTACCAAAGATTCCCATTCATGGTCTTTATAAAGCCAGGAAGAATGGCTCCTTTGGCTAATGGGGATACTGGAAACAGCCAGCTGAGGGAATTCCTAATGAACGTGCTGCAAGCACACCTGAGGGGAGCAAAGGAAAACTTCACAGTTCTGGCACCCAGACCGTGCTCTCAGATCTCTAGAAAACAGCAAGATTAGTATGAATTCAAACAGAAGTAAAAAATACTGCTGCAGATAATGGGCTCTCAAACCCATCTGCTGCATGCTGACAGTCCCAGCCAGGCTCAGAAGGGCACCTGTCACCTGGCTGAGGAAGTGAGAGAAGACAGGTAAGAAAGATGGGTTACTAACCATGGCAGGAGTGTGTTTCCCCTTCCTGAGCTACCTCAGTACAGAGTGGTCACTCCTTTGAGATTGTCCCTGCCCCCACTGCAGGATTTTCATTTCCTTTGCTATAAACAGAGGAGCAAGGGTCCAAATTTTAGTCTGGATTTCAAAAAATAATTCATCAGAATTCAAGCCCCACAAAGTTCTGCCCCTCAAACTCCCTCAGGGGCTGTGCTGATGAGAATATTTCCAGCCAAAACCTACCCAGGCATCGTTCCACTCCCAGTCCCATCACTCAGACAGGTTTCTCTTTGCCAAGGACACAGAGCACTCATCCAAAAGAGAGGAACGAGGGGGAACTCAGAGACTTGTGTAGCAACGAGAGATGAGGATAGCAATGGAGGTGTAGGAGCTCCCACAGGACTTGGAGCTTTCCGTGCCCAACCCTTCCAGCCAGATATAGCCCAGAATGATAGGTCAAAGACTTCCCAAAACCAGCCTTGCTCCTCCTGGTACGCTTGCTTTTAAGCAGTAAGGACAGCAGCCTAGTGTCCTGTGTTGCTGTGGGAATAAGGGAGCTGCCCTGACAAATCCTGTTCAGTAAACAGGACCCAGGAGAAAAGCCAGGGAGGATGTATGTATGTAGGGAGGAACATACTCTGTGTGAGGCCAGGGGTGCAACCACCTCTGTCCCCTGGAAAGCAGCTTGTGGGCACCTGCCAGTCCATACTGAGGTAGAAAGGGAGAAGAAAGGGAGCTGAGGGTTCCTGCCCCCTCAGAGCCCCTGCCAGGTGTCCAGGCCTGGCTCAGGGAGGGATCACCCACCCACCTTCTGGCAGTGAGGGCAGGGGAAGTTGTGCGTTGCTGTCTGCAGATGGTGCTCCAGGGCTTCTGGGGTGGAGTATTTATTGACACACTTCACACACCTGGATGGGGAGAGAAAGGACACAGCCTGTGAGCAAGGCTCCTCAGCAAACCCCACACCACTGCCCAGCCCAGCCACCTTCCAGGGTGATCCCTGACAGGGTTGGTTTGGTACAGAAAATAATCTCTCAGGTGCTCTGAAACCTCAGCAACCCACATGCCAGCTCACACTCACACTCAGCACCCTTCAGAGGGGGAGATGCTGGAAAACTGGGTGGAGAAGCCTTTAAATTCCAGCACTCTTCCACACAGACTGCCATGGGCACATATTCCACACTGCTTCCTCGTGGAGACAAGCCCTAAGTACTGACTTCACCTTACCCCAAACACCTCCTTCCACCTTCACTGCTTCCATTTTTATTGCTCCGGTGAAGGAGCTGAGAGGGAGGGTACAGGATGACAGGGCTGACATATCCTGGCAGTATTTCAGCTGGAGAGCTCTGCCAAAGCTGACAGAGAGAAGCACTGCCAGCAATGGGAACAGAGGCACTCACAGGGTGTACCTGCTGTGAAACCCCTTCTCCTTAGGTCAGACTAACACCTCCTCAAACAGAAGCAGGGCTCTAATCTCAAGGATCCCCACTAGAAGTAGCAGATATTTATTCCATGAAGGTCCTAGGTCACTTCAGTATCTTCTGGGCTTCCTAGTCTTCCTGGACATCTCTACAGGCATTTCAAAAGTTCCAGGGAGGTTTTTGTAGGAGTTCTCACCCAGAAGTAGAAATGTTTCCCAGGGAACAGACCCTTTTGCAGCAAAGGATAGATTTTTTTGGGGCACAGCTTCTACAGCCCATACTCCCTTTGCTGCAGGTGTTAAAGAACCACAGAAAACAGGCTGAGAAGGGGCTTCCCTGGGTCTCTGACCCAGCCAAGTGCAGGTTCATCTGTGCCTATCTTACTCTTGACTGGTGATAAGAGGACTTGCAGTGACAGGATCTTCCCACATAATCAATCCCAGCCTTTCACTGTTGTTCCAAAAGCATTCACTGAATCACACAATCAACCAGGTTGGAAAAGACCTCTGAGATCATCGAGTCCAACCTATGACCCAACACCACCTGGCCCACTAAACCATGGCACTAAGAGCCCCATCCAGTCTCTTCTTGAAAACCTCCAGGGATGGAGAATCCACCCCCTCCCTGGGCAGCCCATTCCAATGGCTGAGCACTCTGTAAAGAACTTCTTCCTAATGTCCAACCTAAACCTCCCCTGGCACAGCTTAAGGACGTGCCCTCTTGTCCTGCTGCTGGGAGACTGACCCTCATCTGGCTACAACCTCCTGTCAGGGAGTTGTAGAGAGTGAGGAGGTCTCCCCTGAGCCTCCTCTTCTCCAGGCTNACACAATCAACCAGGTTGGAAAAGACCTCTGAGATCATCGAGTCCAACCTATGACCCAACACCACCTGGCCCACTAAACCATGGCACTAAGAGCCACATCCAGTCTCTTCTTGAAAACCTCCAGGGACAGAGAATCCACCCCCTCCCTGGGCAGCCCATTCCAATGGCTGAGCACTCTCTCTGTTAAGAACTTCTTCCTAATGTCCAACCTAAACCTCCCCTGGCACAGCTTAAGGACGTGCCCTCTTGTCCTACTGCTGGGAGACTGACCCTCATCTGGCTACAACCTCCTGTCAGGGAGTTGTAGAGAGTGAGGAGATCTCCCCTGAGCCTCCTCTTCTCCAGGCTGAACAGCCCCAGTTCCCTCAGCCTCTCCTCCCAGCACTTGTGCTCCAGTCCCTTCCCCAGCCTCGCTGCTCTTCCCTGGCCCTGCTCCAGCCCCTCCATGTCCTTCCTGAGCTGAGGGCCCAGAACTGGACACAGCACTCCAGGGGTGGCCTCACCAGCGCTGAATCCAGGGGCAGAATCACTGCCCTGCTCCTGCTGCCACACTGTTCCTGAGCCAGCCCAGGATCCATTGGCCTTCTTGGCCACAAGAAGGCCACACATTCCAAGTGCTTGGCCCTAGCAGCCAGCTGGAGGGGCCCCCCACTTGCCATCTGGGTGCCCAAAAGAACCACAGCCACTAATCACACAGGGCCCCCTCTTCCCTCTAAGGTCCCCACCAAACACACTCTGCACCCACTCACTCCTACAAGCCTTGTGAGCACCGATTGCTACTGTACTTGTACACGGCCACGTCCTTCTTGGGGCTGTGCTGGGGCAGCAGGCTGTGCGAGTACTGGTGGACACCCAGCTCGTACAGGGAGGGGAAGTCCTTGCTGCAGAGGTGGCAGCGGTAGCTCAGCTCCTCCTGGTGGCTCTTGATGTGCTCAAGGAAGGACTCCAGCTTCTGGAAGGTCTGAGCGCAGGTCTTCACCACGCACTTGTACACCTGGGAGAAGGGAGAGCAGCTGGAGCAGCACAACATGGAAACAGCCAGGGAAAACCCTCTGCCAACAGGCAGAGTGGCCTTCCTTTTTGGGAAGAAATATGGACTCTCAGGGCACTCCCCTGAGAAAGCAAGGCAGGACAAAGGGGTGTTGGTGTGAGGGCCTGAAACCACTTGGGTGGGTGAGACCACAACACCCCAGTGGTGACTGTCCCATGACACCTGCACTGAAAACTTTGGACTTCATAGAGTTATTGAATCAGTAAGGCTGGAAAAGACCTCCAAGACCATCGAGTCCAACCTCTGACAGATCACCACCTTGTCAACTAAACCACAGCACTAAGTGTCATGTCCAGTTGTTTGTTGAACACTTTCGGGGATGGCGACTCCCCCACTTCCTGGACAGCCCGTTCCAATGCCTGACAGCTCTTTCTGGGAAGAAATTCTTCCTGATGTCCAACCTGAACCTCCCCTGGGCTATCCTAAACCACCTGGCACAGCTTGAGACCATTTTCTCTCATCCTGTCCCTTGTTCCCTGGGAGCAGAGCCTGACCCACCCTGGCTCCACCCTCCTGTCAGGGAGTTGCAGAGCCAGAAGGTCCCCCCTGAGCCTCCTTTTCTCCAGGCTGAGCCCCCCCAGCTCCCTAAGCCCTCCCTCATATGACTGACTCTCCAGACCCTTCCCCAGCATCGCTGCCCTTCTCTGGACACACTCCAGCCCCTCTATGTCTTTCTTGAAGTGAGTGGCCCAGAACTGGACACACTTCACTTCTTTGCTTCTTTTCCAGCCACCCAAACCTGCTCGGTTGACTTCTCACTTAGCAGGGTGGAGGCAGAGGAGCTTTTCAAAGCTGTGCAGACCACACAGCTACAACCCTGAGGGCTGAGCTGCACGGGAAGCACTGGCAGCTTTACAGAGCAAGAGGCTCAGGACAGACCCTGGTGCGCTATATGATGCCCATCCCAACCTCACCACCCCACAGGGCATCCTCTGTCCCTACCTGCTCATTCTTGTGCTGTGTCATGTGTGATTTGAGCTGGAAATAGGTGTTGAACTTGCTGGGGCAGAACTGGCACTGGTAAGAGCTGTCGATCAAGACAACCTGCTTGGCCTCCAGCTTGCCTGCCTCGCTGTCCTCCAAGGGGCTCAGCTCTTGGGGTGGTAGCATGGGGTTCCTTGAGGGCTGAGGCAAACCTGCAGAAGGGGAGAAAGTCACACCCTGACATGAGACAGCTCTGAAGGTTGCTCTGAGAGCCAGGTCAGGCCAGGCTCCTCCTCCCTTTCAAAGACAGATTCTTTAGATCTCAATAACAGGGTGGTTTTAAATTTGTCAAGAGATACATCAGGGCTCTGACTACCGTGTCTTCCTCTCCTTAACCCGTTCCCTTTTTCCATGGATATAACTGTGCTTTGTGGAGCAGTCAGAGAACAGGCCTCTACCAGTGAACCAGAGCCAGATTTACTCCCATTCCAGTAGAAGACAGGAGGTTAAGATCCAGCCAGCTCAGTCCATGATGTCTGCAGAGGGCAGTTCCAGTGAGGCCTTGTCTTAGACATGACATTGTCACTGCCCTTACTCCCTACCAGGACTGGGGCCACCAGCAGAGAGGGCATCCAGACACCACCAAGGAGCTCTTCTCTGCCTCAGGTATTTTCAGGTGGCTGCTGTGGCAGATCCAGCCCAGGCATAACATGCATGTTGCAATCAAGCAAGGGCACTGGGCTACCTTAAACCACTGGGTTGTCTAGCCCCTATACCAGAGCTGTCAGAGGTGGCTCATGCATCTGCCAGGAAGTGAGAAGGGGAAGACACCTTGTCCTGTCTGCATGCACATACTGGCACAGAGTTTGGAGTCACTGTCTCCACCAGCACTGAATCCACCATGGCTCGGGGTACAAAAGGATGCACCTGCCAGCTAGACCTGAGCAAATGAAACTTGCTTAGTGTGAGCTGCTAAACCCCACCCAGGACTGCACACAGCACACACAGCTCCCACCTCCCCTCCCTCCCCGTGTGGAGGTGCAGGGACCTGCAACCTCCCCACATCACTGCCCTGCCCCACGCTCATGCCACCCCCAGACAGCAAACCTGTGTTCTCCTCGTCCTCTGGCTGGTTGGGATTCAAGGCCATGACCTGCACTGTGATGGAGTTGCGGGAGATGGTGCAGCCCAGCCCTGGAGGCCACACTTTGTGGGTCTGCATGTGCTTCTTCACGTTGGACTTCTGGGCAAAGGCTCGGCCACACACGATACACTGGAAGGGCTTCTCACCTGTGTGGCTGAAAGCAGAAGGCACCAAATCAGCAGCTGGTGGAGACAGGAGGCAGCCCCCAGGCAGAGCCTGTGGTGGGCTGGCTGCTGCAGGACAGTGCTGGGCACTCAGCTTGGCACATCACACCTGGGCCAGCCAAACAAGGGCTTTGAGACCTCATTCACCAGAGTAGGTGGATTGTGAGAGGCCGGGTGAAACCAGCCAGACAAAACACTTGTGGTCTGGGGATGATGAGGGGTCAAAGTGGGAGAGGAAAAGAGCTCTGCAGCAACATCAAGGCATTCACTGTCAGGGTCTCTGCACAGATCTTGGGGACCCCCATCACTTTCTCAGGGGTACAAGCTTTTCCTTCCCTGCCACCCTTCCTTCCCCGGCACACATCTCTTCTAGCTTGCAGACATCTCATCTCCCTGAATTTGCTCTCTCCTGTCCAGGGCAGAAAGGTCTTTCTACCCTGCCCTCCTGCTTCAGGAGAAAGACTGGACTCCAACACATGCAGTACATCATGTGAAGAGTCCAGGCTGGGCAGGGGTACAAGCCCACCACTTGTTCCCTCTCATCTGTTCTGAGTCCAGCAGACTCTGCTGGGGGAAACTGAAGATTTCAGCTGCCTCCTGCCAAAGAAAAGCTCTCTTATAAGAGCTCCCTGTATAAACACTGAGCTTGGCTTGGTTTGCTAACACCAGCAAACACCAAACACAAGGGCTACAGCTTGCTAGGGAGGCACAGAAAAGGGAAGGGCATGGCAAGCAGTGGAGATGCTGCTGCTCTGGTGATCAGGTGACAAGGCTGTCAAAGTCTCATCAGTCAGGGAAACAAGCCTCCAGTCCCACCACATCATCAGCATGAAGGTTACATCCGTGATGCAGTCTTCACCCCAGTCACTGGGGAGGTGTCCTGGAATGAGAAGGATGAAGAATCCCCTCCCATTGCAGCACAGATTCTGGGGCACGACAAACTGGACTGCACAGACTCCCTCAGCAGAACTGTGCCCAGCTCCACCCCAGCCACCCTGCTGTGTCCAGGTCAGTGGCACTGTTACCTTCTGATGTGCTGCTGCAGGTCAAAGTTCTTGGTGAAGGCCTTGTCACAGTAAGTGCATTTCAGCTTGGAGGACTTGGGTTTACCTGCAAGCAAGAACACAGACAAGAATGAGACCACGTGGCACAGCCCTGTCCCCACTGTCACAGGGCTCTCACCCCCAGACAGGACTACTCAGGACCAAGAAAGGGCTTATGAAAAGGTAGGATCTGCCTGGCCAGACGAGGGAGAGGTTATGGGCACAAACATACATTTAACATAGCCTGAGCCAACTCTAGTAGCACTAAGGAGTGTAGGCTGGTGGGGCAGGGCATCCCCCTCAGGCATTAACCACTCCCTTTCCACAGACCCTTCTGTGCTACAGAGCACACACTTTAAAGGCATGTTGGGCATTGGGAAAGACACAGGATTAGAGAGAGGAAGGGCCCCAGCTCTGTCTCTGCTGTGAACTCACCAGGTTAGCCATCAGCCAGAGCACATGCACATTCCTCCCTTCCAGAAGGTCAGTCAGTCACATCTTCTATCTACTCTGACGGGGTCTAAACCAATGGGGAACAGCAGAACTGTGGGCTGCTCTAGGAATTCTGGACTGACAACTGCAGCATGCATGGCCATTCTCACCTCTGCAAACAAGGTTAAACCCTAGGATCTGCATGGTTGTAACTCCAGAGGCCCAGCCTTCCTGGGGACAAAGGCCACATGCCTTTCCTCTACCTCACACCTGGGAGCTCCTGTGTCACCCAGCTGGGTGTGCTTGGACACCAACAACGGGTCAGCCTTGGCTCTGGGGCTCCTCCATCCTGGGACAGGGCACACTCCTGTCCTGCCTCACCTGGGGACAGGTGTGTTTTCTTTGTTGACACACACAAGAGGGATGGGCCTCCTCAGCCCTTGGAAAGAGAGTGTCTGGGGCCAGGCCACATCCAGCCCACCAGCCCTGTGGCTGGACAGTCTTCTTGGGGTAGAACGAGCTGTAACACCTTACTTGGCAGATGTGCCCACTTCAGGTGTGATGCAGTAACCTCGTAGCTGCAGAGACTTGGCACAGGTTTGCCCATGCAGCAGCACAGTGACAGTCCTTCCACGTGCACACACAGGTGACAGGCAAGAAGCACATCCACGCTTGGAGCTGCTTTTGGCAGTTTCATGCAGGGAATCCTGTTCCTCCCTCAGAGCTGCACAGCCAGTGCCACCCCTCGGGGCCTGGTGAGCCCGTGGCTCAGCAGCCCCCTCCAGGACAAGCAGGGCGAGTGCAGGGCAGGTGCTGTGAGGACACTCACCTTCCTGCAGCCCGCTCTCGTTTTTGCAGCGTCGAGTTTTGGCAGCAGCAGGGGAATCAAAACCAACCATGGGACCTCCTCCTGTGCTGGTCAGGGCAGTGGGAGCACTGGTGCTCTTGGACTTGAACCCCTGCTTCCCAGGGCTGTACACGGGGGGAGAGGGGTACACGGGACTTTCCACACACTGGCTTGGTACCTGTGGCAGGGAAATTCATCAGTGGGACAGGTTTGCTACACAGAATTATCCTGGGCCCCAACCTCCAACTCCAGCAACATCAGGCTATTAATCTGGTTGAGTTTTCTGCCCTCTGCCAAACTGGATCAAATTTCCAGTTCACCAGCCCAACAATGTGTCTCTAACCAAAGGTAGCACCTTGCACAGTGTTCCTGCTGAACATCAAAAAGCATCCAGCAGTTATTATAGCAGGAAGAGTACAGCAAAGAAACACCAAATGAGCTGTCTAGTCCCTCACCTATAAGAGCTTCTTATCCCTCTGGAGCAGGTTACCAGGATTACTGCTGACCCAGTGGCAGGGATCTCCAGTGACCCCAGACATGCATTTCCAGACCCTGTTGCCTGCCCTGGCAGGACTGAATAAGGAAAGGAAGGCACAAGAAAACTCCAGGTGGCAAAGCACGACCGTTTGTGTCAGCACCAAGGTTAGAAAAGGACACTTAGATACAGAGGCATCAGTCTGGGGTGACGTGGTTTGAGGGTGTTCCTGCTGCCCACCCTGATAAATTAACATTTCCAACATCCTCATCCCCTTCTGACCACTGGCACTTCCAGATCAGATGCCAGCTACAAAGATAAGGATGACAAACCTCAGCTACACCCATTAGTTTCTGTTGTGAATGGCAATACAAATGTGGAGACTGCAAACAGCTGACCCACCAAGGCACCACTCTGCCTGTGCCTTTCTTTAGGAAAAGCCACCTTGTCAAGCTCATTGAGATTTAGACTGAATTTTTCTCTCCACATAAGCCTGCAGTGTGCAGGGTGGTGCTCTGTACCTCTCTGGGAGGTGAGATCCCTCCTCTCAGCTCTCCCTCACTCCCAACACCTGCAGGTATTCTTCAACTACAACAAACACTCGGTCTCCTAAGCCTGTGCTGGCCAAGTCTCTGTCCCTCTTAGCTGTTTCTCCTCAGAATCCCCATCATCTTGCTGACACCCTTCTGTTTGGTACCTTCTCCCAGAGGAAGTAGACATTGTCAAATAACCTAACACATCTTCCTACACTGTGGAATTACCACATTCCTGAAGGTCACGTTGGACAGGGCTCAGAGCAACCTGGTCTAGTGGAAGGTGTCCCTGCCCATGGCGGGGGGTGGAATGAGATGACACTTAAGGTCCCTTCCAGCTCATGACTTCTAGCCCGGGTGACTCCCGAGCAGCCTCGCTTGTCAGAAGAGGACGGATCCCTGGGGGCAGCCTTACCTCCATGGGCGGGTAGGGCTGCATGCCCAGCGTCTGGATCTCCACCGTGCTGGTTGGTGCCATGGGAGGAGGGGCACTGTACACTTCCACCACACCAGTGGTGCCCCCGGGCTGCCCCGGAGCCCCCAGGCTCGGGGGGGGAGGCGGCGGGGGCTGAGGAGGGGGCGGCGGCGGGGGAGGCGGTGGCGGGGGGGGCTGGGACAGGTATCCAGCCCCAGCGTGCATACTCATGCTGCTCTGCAACCAGACAGGGAGAGACACACAACACCTTGAAAGTGCAGCAGTCAGGAGCTGGAGGGGCTGCTTCCTCACACACGTTCCCAATCCCAGCTCAGAACAGCACCTGCTGATGCCTCGGCACAACACAGCGTGTCCAGCTCCAGGTTGGAGCAGACTGTGCTGGAGGCTTGGCATGACCTACAGGTACACACTGTCTCCTCCAAAATCCAAGTGCTTTTATTGCTTTGTTTTTAAAGCTTTTAATCCTTCCGGTTACAAGGAAGATTCTCAGAGCCATGGAAAGTGTAGACAGCCTGGGGAGAGCCTAACCACAGGAGGAAGGGAGCAAACTGACAGGGGTCTGGAAGCCAATCATTACATAGGGCCTCAACAAAAACTGGAGAGACTACGTTACAAAGATCTGATCAGCCAGCAACGAGGTTTGCCAACACCACCAAAGTGTGGGGTGTGGTTGACACACTGGAGGAAGGCACAGGGCACCCAGAGGGACCTGGAGAGGCTTGAGAGGTGTGTCTCTGTGAATCTCATGAAGTTCAACAAGGCCAAGTGCAAAGTGCTGCACCTGGGTCAGGGCAATCCCAAGCACAAGTACAGGCTGGGGGAGAATGGACTGAGAGCAGCCCTGAGGGCAAAAGGACTCTGGAGGTGTTGGTGGATGAAAAGCCAAACATGACCTGGCCATGAGCACTTGCAACCCTGAAAGCCAACTGTGTCCTGGACTGCATCCCCAGCAGTGGGGCAGCACCCCGGGAAGTGTTCAAGGCCAGGCTGGACAGGGCTTGGAGCAGCCAAGGGTTGGAACTGGATGAGCTTTAAGCAAGACTCCCTGGGCCCACATGTGCCCCTTACCTGCACCGGGGGCTGCACCGCTGGCATGGGCTGGTCCAAGGATGCAAAAGCAGACATGGCTGACATCAGCACCTCATCACTGACCAAGATGTTCCCCTGCACCAGGGTCTGGATCAAAGGTGATGGGGGAACGGTGATGTACGTAGAGATTTGCTGAAAGGGAAAAAGGATGCATTGTTGGGCAGCAACAGGACAAAATGATAACCAAAAAAAGATGACGCTGCTTTTTGCTGAACCTCAGTGTCTCTGCTCTCACAGCCTCTGGTCAGCAGTGAGCCACAGTAATTATCTGAGCCCGTGGGAGTTTCTAGCCATAACAACAAGGCAGTTTCAGAAACGTTCTTCAGAAAGGAGGCAAAGAATATCACAGGAGCTGGTGAAAGTGGCCACTAGCTACAATTCAAATCAGGGGTTATTAAACAAGATATGCAGGACAAACTGGTCACAGACAAGTTCAGGCCTCTCCTGGGTGCTTGCCCCAGCTCAGGAAGGTGGAGAGCTGAGGGAGGCTGCTCTGTCTGCAGATGGTGAACATTCTCATCTCTTTGGACAGGACTCGGATTATAGGAGGGGAGGGTGCCTGTCACATTTTTTTGAGTGGAAACAACCTGTGTTTGCAGCCCTGGGAAGAAGCCATATCCACTGGGACTATGTTAACTTGAAAAAAGCAGTTGGTTTGAAAGCACTTTGGAAACCATCACAATTGCAGGCACAGTACATGCCCTGCACTAGGGAATCACTCTGGAGAATTCTCTGTGGAAGGAGTTACTCCAGAGAGGACATTCCCTCAATGCTCATCACACCACATTATGTGGGTTCATTTCCGGAATCTTCGTTCGCGAAGCCCAGCCATGATGATGATGTGGGCTTATGTGTGGGAATGTGAGAGGAGGGATGAAGCTGCTCTCTTCTTCTGCCCACGAGCCAGACCAAAGCCCAGGGGACAGCAGGAGCCATGGCCACCTGAGTACTGTGCAGTGTGACACTGGGGCTCTTCAGCACAGCCAGGAGATGAAACCCCTCCTGTCCTGAAAAAGGGCTGTCAGACTCTCATGCTGGAGGACACCTCGCTGCAGGGGACCTCACTTCAACCACACGGTGAAAAGCCAACAGGACCACAACTGAGCCTCCTAGAAAAGAGGTCAGTCACGAGGCACCACTGGATCTAAAAGCCTCACCCCAATGTCCCTCCCTCCCAGAATCACAGCAGCAGGGCAGAGAGGCTCTGCCTGCAGTCGGTACCTGCCGGCCGGCGCTCGGAGCCTGCGGCACCGAGGTGATGGACGGGCTGTACGCGCTGTTGGTGGCCAGAGATACTGTGGACAGGGACGGGGCACTGCCCTGGCACTGCTCTCTCTTGTGGGTCATGAAGGCAGGCAGAGAGTTGAACTGCTTCTTGCACTTCCCACAGAGGAACACGTCTTCGTCATCTGCAAGGAAGAGGGTCAGATCACTGCTCCAGGCCTTCTCCTGCTACACCCAACAACTACAATGTAGGAAAACTGGCACCTTTTGGATCTCAGCACCTCAAGGACATCATCATCCAGAGAGATTAGCTGCAAGGGCCAAGCTGGCCCTCCTTCCCAATCCCAAGTTCTCCCTAAAGACAACTGATGTGATTGAGCCCATCTCAGCCCTGCTCCCACGTACAAAACCCACCGTCTCCCTGGGACACACTGAATCCCATTGTCTGTCTTCTCATCCCAAAGACAGGAACAACCAACCCAGCCTTGCTCCTGAAGCACCCTCTGCTTTTTAGTCAAAGCAGCTTCTTCCAAAGCACCGACATTCTGCTGGCTGAGGCAGATTTTATTACTCAGGTTGCACAAAGGAAGAGAAGTAACTTGGATCAGGCACAGAGTCACTGTCAGCTCGTGTCCTGAAGCCACCCTTCCATGGGACTGATGGGTTTTGGCACCTCTGCTTGACGCCCAAAGCAGAAAGAAGACAACCCAGTTACACGTCCTAGCTGAAATCTGCAGCGTTAGCAAAGCACACACCACTTGTAAACGATCCAGCTGGACTCACAAGGCTGTTTCTCCTGATTCACAGCCTGAAGCAGAACGTTTCTGGGGACACAGACTGTAAATCCTCTGGAGGATAACTTGGTGTCCACCCAGCGAGTCCTAGTCAAGCACTGTGAGTACCCATGTGCACATAAATGACCAGTTCCCATATTCACTCACACAGATGAGATACTCAAGGGCTGGAGTATCCCCAGGGGATAAGGAATGGCTAATTAAATAAAAAATGTGAACAGTAACAAGTAGTGGTGGAGGCAGTGGCTTCTCCCTCCCTTTGTGACTTTATTGGAAGCACATGGTCAAGTCTGTTGCCATGACCATCTCCAAAAGCTCTCTCAGGCACTTGCCCCTTCCTCCTGCTCTGGTCCTGCTGAGGGCTTCCAACACTTGTAGCAGCCCCTACACATCCAGCTGTTCTGGGATGTGCAGCACTCCCACCCCTCTCCTCTCTCTCCCAGTGCCACCAGGACTCACCCATGGGCTGGATGGCACTGGAGGAGTTGACATTTTGAGCCGATGGATCCGTCACACCTCCCTGACCATCCAGTAAGGACTGCACAGCCAGCACTGTCTGATTATCCATTCCTGAAAGGAGACACAAACACGGAGGGTGAATTGAACACAGCCACACATGGAGTGCTTGGGCACTGGGAGCTTGCTCCCAGGTCATGGAGGGAAGCAACTCTGCAGCTGCTGCTCTCTCCTCCCACAGAGCCACTCTCACCTTCTTGCCCTCTACTCCACAGCATCAACTATCACACCACAGCAACGCTCCCACCTGTCTCCATAACTCCTTTGGCACAGGAAGAAAAGGGAAGAAGGGCAAGAAAAGCCAAAAGAGGGCTTGGTTTGCTGCAGAGAGAAAGGATGTTTACAACCAGAGCTAAAAAGCAGGTATTGGGATGTCACAGAGCAGCAGTCTGGGTGGATCTGCCTGGGGACACAGCGTGATATAGCACAGACAAAATCCTTGTGTGCAGCAACTCCCTCAGCAGCAGTGCTAGAAATGCCTCCCTGTTTTCAAAGCCAGCATTCCCGGATCTGACCAGACCCAGGGCACACACCCCCGGGCAGATCTGTTGTCAGAATCAGC